TTTGAAGGAAGGGGGTTACCAGAAGTGTGTGACAGAAATGTTAAAGCTCTCAGGAGTCATTTTTGCGTAATTTAGGATCTTTAAGTCATCTTAGAATGTTGTTACCTTCTCAGAACCATATCCAGAGTTGTGTTTTCTTTCATTCACACATGTTTGAGTAATCCTTTTATTATCAGTCTGTCTACATCTCCAAAATGCTCTATTCTACCTTATGATGTCATTTAGTGATAGTTTTGAAGTTGACAGCTATCTTTAAATTTTTGTTCAGTAAAGATGGGCAATTCCTGGGCTGAAATGATTCAAATGATCCAATTGAAGGTGTAAGGAGTTTAAAAACACAGTGGAGCACATGACATCACAAGGTGGAAGCGTGTTTTATGTTTGAGAGAAGACTGCTTTAAACGAATATGCAGGATTTGAGCGTTTAAACATGTGCGAATGAAACAAAACACACTCCAGGTATGTTTTTTGATGAGGAAACGACATTATAACATAGATCAGGAAATGGTATAATATGGGCCCTTTAAGCATTGTAACTTTGAGCCTAATATCGGCTAGAGATGGTGCACACTTTGTACAGTAGCTAAGTAGTTCAAAGGTTGACAGAAATGCATGAACATTTACTTTCAGATTGATTCACTTGTCAGAATTCATTCACTAGGGCAACAGTAGCTCAGTTGGAGTGTTTGTCCGCTGACCCACAGGTTGGGTGTCGTTGTGTCCTTGGTCAAAACATTTTGCGTGACCTGAAGGTGGAAAAGCGCTATATACAGTAGAATGTAACTGTTTACCATTTACCACAAGAGAGAACCTACCAACAAAAGCTAAACTACACTAAGCATGAAGTCAACCTCCCTAAAACATTTTCCAACTCAGAATAAATGTATTTGTCCCTGAGAGGCCCTTTAGAGCCGTAGGCACTTAAAAACATGTGCAAACAAAGCAACAATCACCAGGCATCACCCCAATCTGGAATATGTGGGGCCATAAAGGATGACTGTGGCACTATTTGATTAACAATATGATAAACTCTTTGTAGACTTTTTTTTTAGGCCTTTATGCAACTAAAGATAATGTCAGTAGTCAACTAGGAAGCATTTTTAGCAATTATATTTTCTTTCTGTTTTCTATGTGCATTTTTATTGAGATTTATAGGTGGTATTAGTGTATTATCTTTGTTAGAAAACATTTTTTGTCATAGTCAGTTATTCAAGATCATTCTGATTAATCATTGTAACCCTTTGCTGTTTCCTATATTTCTTTTCATTCATCTGCCTGTTGATTGAGCACCTAATAGAGATTGACAGATATGTTTTTTGTTTTTTTTCATGGCCGATATCGATACAAATTATTTAGAATCCAGGGAAACCAACGGCCAATAAGCTCTGCCGATATTTTTGGGTAGGTTTTGATTTTTCTCCTCAAATTATGCCATTTAAATTGACTACAAACTCATCCACAGCCCTTTTTTAAAAAACACAAACCTAGTCCAATTTTGTCCATTTATTTCTTTGTATTAAAATGTTAAAATAAAGCTTTGTGTGTATTTTTAGACAGCAGATTGGCCAGAACAAAACATTGGCCTGAGCTGGAGATTTCAGGCTAAAATGTAATAAGTTTGTCCATATTTTCTCATTGTCATAGCATGGTGGCTTTGTTGTGGTCTCTCTACTGGACTATTTAGTGTCAGACATTTACTTGGGGCTCACAAACAATTCCATAGTAGCTGCTTGGTGAAATTGACCGATTTATCCCTGACCTAATTCCTCAGCGGTTCAGTATTTTCTTTTGAAACCAGTGCTGCCGTGGTTACCAAACTCACTCGGCCGCGCTTCAATGCTCTGCTTGTTTTCAGTTTATTTATTTATTTATTTTGAGGATGATGTGGTTGTGTATTTGCATGTCCACTGTGTTGTACAGAGAAGCAAAACCGGTCTTGATCTACTGTTCCTCTGTGTATCTATGCACGTGCTCGTTCAAGTGGGCTAAAAATGCAGCAGGGCAGATGGCTGCTCTCGCTATGAAACCACATGGGAAACACAAGTGCCAGTGTCTTTTGTCGTAAATATTGTCCAGCAAAACAAAACGTGAGTCTTACTGTAGTATGACCTCCCATTTTCTTACTTTCTATTAAACCTTGGTTTAAAGGCCCCATATTAGTCAATTTAAAAAAAAAACATACCTGGAGTTGTGTTTTGTTTCATTCACACAAGTTTAACTCATAAACCCCATTTTAGGATGTGTTCTTCACTCAGACAGAAAACATTGCACCTTGTGATGTCATGGGGTAATACAGAAAGTGCTCCACTGTAATTTTAAACTCCATACACCTTCACTAGAATTATTTGGATAAGTTCATGAGCCCTGGAATTGGCCATTTCTATTAAACTAAAGGGACAAGCTGTTAACTTAAACTTCATGACATCACAAGGTGGAACAGAGATGTAGACAAACTAATAATAAAGTGTTACTCAAACACGTGTGAATGAAACAAAACAACTCCAGGTATGTTTTTGAGGAGTTATCAGCATTATAACATGGCTTAAAACTCACAGGAACCCTTTGTGTTAAATATAGGATATTTAATGGTTAATAATGGCAAGAATGAGAATTTTCGAGGATTTATTAAGTTGGAAAGAATTTTTAAGGGGAATCTGTATGTTTATGGTTAGTTGCACATCCAACCATATGAAGTTGATTTACGTGACCAGTCAGATTTAGCTAAACTTTACAAAGATGAGTGGATCTGGAGCTGTGCCCTGTCTCACTGATTTCAGAGGAAGTGATTAACAGGTGGATTAACTAATCGGATGCAAGCTAGGCTCTAGTAAGAAACAAACAGGAGGAAAAAAAACAACCAAGAACTGAGAAACAACATGGATCGTCTCAACAGCTGAAGCACCAAACTATTACTTATCTCAGCTAAAGTTATATATTTTGTTCTGAATGATTTGATTAAATTTCATGATGATGTTCTGAATGTTAGGAGAAATTTCAAGAGCAGATGTCTTCCGCATGTGGGAGACATGTGATACACATTAGCAGCTGTGGTTGGACCATCTCTATTATGGATGGAGGATTTTCATGCTCTATGGTCAGATTCCAAACGCATCTAGATTCAAATAGAATGCAGTGACTGGTTGGTCACACAAGCAAATCATAGTAGATTAATTCCTTATAGGGCTGACATGTCCAAAACCTGTTTTTATTTAAATGTATTCAAAGCAGAAGGCCACAGACTGGTGTTTAATACAGTGAGTCATTCATATCAGATGGGCGCATTAAACAGAGCTTGGACCGAGCCTTTGTACTTAATGTCTTGGATCCTTAATTCTAGGTCTGTACCACCAGTCAATGATGTAACTGAGTTTATCATAGAATTGCATTTACATTAAAGGTCCTACAGTATGCAAAATTGACTCATGAGCTTTAAACTATGTTTACATGGAGGTGTTTTGTTTGTTTCACACGTTTGAGTAATCCTTTATTAGTCTGTCTACATCTTCAAAGCTCAAAATGTTCTGTTCCACCTTGTGATGTCATGCAGGGATAGTTTTCAATTTAACAGCTGACGTAGATCTTCCAAATTATTTTTCTGAATGTCCATGGAGTTTAAGAACACAGTAGAGCACTTCCTGTATCACCACATGACCTCACAAGGTGGAACAGGGTGTTTTCTATTTGAGAGAAGAGTTCAATGTGAATGAGCAAAACACAGCTCCAGGTATGTTTGTGATGAGTCTACAACATTATAACATAGATCAGAAAATAGCGTCATATTGGCCCTTTAACAACATACTTTACCATTTGGTCCAGTTCAGTAGGAGGCGTAAGGGCCAACAAAAGCCTTTTTCTTGTGTGTTTGACTCAGGAAAAGTTAGTGCTCAACTGTTAAACTAGCCCATGTTCTTATAAAGATTATTTATGGATGTTTATTGTATAATTCAAATATATACATTTACATTAACATTTAATATTTAGAAATGGGTTGATAAATCTCATTTAAACACACAGACAGATGGAAGAGGCTGCACCCACATTCAAAAGAAAAATTTCAACAGGCTGGTTTTGAATGACATTTATGAATGTTTTTGGAATAGTGCAATGATCTGAATATTCCAACAAATCTCCCTGTATCCTCCTCCTCATCCCTCTGTCCTGGGTAGTAGGTTGGAGATAAGGTAATAGTGCTGGACCAAGTTTATACAGTTTAACAGCCCTACATAAATTCAACATCTCATCCCAAAAATTTTAGTTTAATTAGAGAGAACATAGAGTTTAGATTTGACCAGTGGTGGATCAAGTGCTCAAATATGTTATTCAAGTGAAAGTACAGATACAAGTAAAAGTAAAAGTATCACATGAAAAAGTCTACTTCAAGTAAAACTATTGAACTACCTGTTTAAAAGCAATAAGAGTAAAAAAGAAAAGTATTTTCATAATTAAAGCATCAATTGTAGTGATTTTGATGAAGAATTTAGCTGCTTTGAAGTGATTTTTGTAGCTGTTTTTGTGTATTTTGTGTGTGTTTGCTCAAAGTTGGTATGTTAACTCAAATCAAATGCGTTAAAAATAAGTCTCATCTTTATCAACAGGTCTCTAAAGAAAAGTACTTTTTACTTTTCAGTCGAGATCTAAAGTTTAGTGGAGAGAAAAGCACAGATAAACTCTCAAATGTAGTGAAGTAAACATAAAAAAATATCCAGTATAAGATTTGAAAGGTACAACATTTACGTAACAGTATTTTACTTAAGTATTGTACTTTTACTTTTGTTCATGGTTATCTTCCAGCACTGGATTTGTCCCATTAAAATCTCTGTGTATTCTCCTCACTGCTCTGTGCTGTGTGTAGGTGGGAGATAAGGTGACGGTACTGGACCAAGCTACAGTTTACCAACCCTACATAAACTGTTGAATTATTCGACAAAGAAAAAAGATTTGTCTTATAGTACTTCAAGTGTCTGTGTATCCCCCTCCTCACCCGTGTGTCCTGTGTGTAGGTGGGAGATAAGGTGATGGTGCTGAATCGATTCGGGCTGTGGCAGGAGGTGGTGGTGGCTCCAGTGAACCACACCTTCCTGATCCCCGACGGTATGAGCTTCGAGGAGGCTGCAGCGTTCCCTGTGAACTACATCACCGCCTACATGATGCTCTTTGACTTTGGACACCTGCGGCCCAACCAGAGCGTGCTCATTCACTCCGCCGCAGGTAAGAACCACGAAATACAAACAGGACAGGGGTGGGCAAGAAACGCTTTTCTCTTGGAGACAGATCATGGTTTTGATTTTATTACAATGTATGTAAACTTGGTAGCTTTATATGAGGTCATGATTTGATTTTTATCACCATATTGCCAAGGCTTACATGGAAAACTGGATTTTACCCCCAACATTCAGCCAAAATATTCTATTAATATGTTTGGAACTTTTACTGTAACTGTTGTAAAAGGTAAAGTCTGAACATCCAACACAATCCAGTGTGCTATGTAATTTTATGGGTGGGGAAACTACTTGTCTCCTTGGAGATATGGTTTTGTCTGGAATATTCCATATAGCATTAAATCTTAGATAGATACTTTCTTTATTGATCCCGAAGGAAATTCAAAGTTTTGCAGCAGCAGCAGCAATGAAACAAACATAGCAACATAAAAAAGACATTTAAAGTTAGCAGTCCATCCTCTTGTATTCATCTTTTATAGCAATGCATTGTACAGACATGCTGTGTGGGACAAACAACTTGCACTGTCTGTGCACTGTTAATGGAGCAGGACAGGAGCAACAGCCTGTCCCCAAAGGTGCTCTCCTGTGCAGTGATGGTGTTGTGTGGTGTATTCAGTTACTGGTGTTTTGGGAAAACTGGCATTCTCATGATGAGTGGGTCACCTTTTCACAGATCTGATCTGACCTGGTGGCATCACCTGCTTGTTTGGTGATAATTTTAATGTCACACTCCAGTCAAAGTAATGAAATCTCTGTGGAGGAAGCCCCACAAGAAAAGTTACATAGTGCACCTTTACCTTTTTGAATATTTCTCATCTCTAAAACCGACAGTAAATATTACCATTAAAGTGACCAAACCTGAGCCACACAGAGCCTTTATGTCACACGTGTTTCTAAAATGGCCCCAGTCTGTCGTCATGTGAATCCTGTGATCCAGGGGAATTAAACGCTCTGATGATGCAACGGTCACATCACGCCTTTTTTAATCACTTCAGAGACACTGTGTGTGAAACTAATGAAAATCAGGCTCAGCATGAACAAAACCTCAAAATGGTGCCCCCTGCATTTTCTAAGATGAACAAAAACGTACACTGAAGATGGACATTTACAGCAAAGGTTTTATTACATGGAAAAAGCATTTGTTTTATTGCCACTTTTATTGAATTCTTTATTTGCTTTATTTCACACATTTTCAAAAAAAAAAAAAAAACATATCTTGCCATTTTAGACTTACTGGTACTTACTTTTCTGGTGAATGATCTACCACCAACTTGTCTCTGTGGAGATATTATTGCTTTGCCTGTTGCATGGCATTGACCTTTTAACCTTAGCTAACTTGCATATTTTCATTTATGGGTGTTTTTCTTTCTTAAAAATATGATTACCAAGATAAGTTTATTCCTATACTGTGGAACATTATGTCCAAAGCAACAGGATTTCCATGGAGACGAGCAGGAGGTGCATCCTTTACACGGAAAAGTTACATAGTGCACCTTTCAAGTCATTTTGCTTTAACAAAAGAATGACTTCATATTAACCTCTAGTACACAGTTTACCAAGCCCACATAAATTCAGTACGTCATTTCAAAATGTTACAGTTATATTTATTATCCAACAAAGAAAACACTTGTGGATTTGTACCGTACCAGATGTTTTGCTTGTCTGCACCTCCTGTTTTCAAATCTCTTCCTCTTGTATGTTATGAATGTTGGACCAGATCCCATTAATCCCATTGTATGAATTATAGTTTTGAGATTTCTCTGTGGAGCTTCTAGCACCTGCCACGCGTACTGAAAGGTCAACGGTCGTACTGAGTGGGAGTGAGAGAGGCGAGTGAGGACCTCAGGGAGTCAGTGCACCTGTTTTGGGGTGTGCTACGTTGGACTTGATGTACACAAATTTGAGCCAGCTGGACTGAAACACTGCTAGCCAGAAGTAATTGTTCCCAGTTTTTGTTTCAGACAAAGATATCTTCCTTTTGGGACAATGTGGAGGTGGTAGAGGTAATAATTCAATACTGGCATAAAATCTAACTACGGAATTAGTTGGATTTAGGTTATGTTCCATTGGATTAACAACCTTATATTGACAGGTTAATAGCTGTCTATGTTGAAGGAATACCTAAATAAATAATCCATAATGTCTAGTAGGGATCTAATATATATAACTGAAATATTGGTCTCTCCATAATATTGTGGACCATCACAATATATATGGAATTACAAGTCTTCACTTAAATTAATAGTAGGGGTGAAGCAATAGCTAAACAACAGAGGGAACTTCATAGACCATGATCCTTTGCTCCATTTCTTTGCAGGCTACATGTGGACGTAACAGTTATAAGCACTTTTAAATCTTAGTTCTTTGGGTTAAGTCCTGCATTTTAAAAGGAAAAACGTAACATATTCAGGTTTGTTAGCCTCTTTAAAATATTGCTATTAATATTGTACTGAATGATTTGGATATGGTTACATCCCTAATGTCTAGGGATTCACCGATCTGATACTGCAATCAGATATTTGCTCTGATACCGAAACATTTGCTGGATCGGATATTGATTCAGCCAGTATCCCAATTGGGGATATAAATCGATGTAACTGAACTATTTGATGGGATAAGATCACGTACCACAAGATCTCGTGAGACAAAATTGCCACAAGGTTGTCCACACATGAGAAAAATGATCTCGTGCGAATTTACCTTTGGTTTGGACAAAAAAAAGAGTTAAGAGCTGGTGAGTTATATAATCTGAGAAGCTGTAGTTCCAAAAAGCAGTACTACAATGACCGCTCAAGTATTACATAAATTAAATAAAAATAGTGCAGCCAAGATTGTGAAATGGATTGCATTGCCTATTTATTACAAATTATTTACAAATCTTGTTTCGTCTCATTCTCGTGGACCCAATCTCGTGGTCTGTCTCGTCTCATGAATATTGTGTCTTGTGGGACCCCTACTATTTACTGGTCTTAATCGGTCCAGAATGGCTCATCATGTTTTATTTACACAAAGTTGCTCTGTAGTTACACGAGAGATAAACAACAGCACCAGAACACATTTGGATCCGTTTTGTCTTTTTTTATTTTGACAGGAATTTAATACAATTGTCAGTATCGGCACTGGTATCTGTTGATATCAGGGATCAGCAGAGTGCGTTTTTAATAATGTTGCTATAATAAAAAATGCAAAGGGAATTAAACAAGCTTGCAATTTCTCATTTGAGCTCTAACACATGTAAACACAATTCGACAATATGCAGCCAATTAAATGTAAAGGTCGCATTTAATTCAGCAGAAATATCTCATCAAATATTAACTCGCTATTTACACCTGATGCACAAACAACATTCAAGGCAACACTGGAGAAATGTGTGTATTTGTATCAGTCCTTGGCTTGTGCAGAGATCATTTTAACAGAAAAAGTTGAATAGCAATAATAAGTATCTCAACATTGTTATTAGTATTACATGATCTGTTAGAAGATGTGTTTAGGGATGTCATTATACCAAATTTCAGTGTTTGATGATTATTTATAAGAAGAAATATGATGACGTTACTGTTGTCCATTAAATCTTCATTCTTATGTGACCAGCTTTATGAATAGTTAGACTCAAATGGCAAGAAAAAAGCACCATATGTCTGTTAACTTTTCTGTTATGAAATGTTGCTTCCAGTTATTACTTAGTTTGAATAATCTTTGCATCTTTAGGTGTATGGAACATATTGCTTTAGTATATAGTCTTTAGTATTGAGTCATCTATCAGTCTGATGTGGTGAGTGTCAGAATCATCCCAGACACTTCCCCTGATATCTTCTTTCTTTTGGGCACACTGCCAGCCTCGCCTTGCCTCTTCCTTTCTCTCTCCTCATCTCCTCTCCTCTCCCCTTTTTTCCTCTCCTCCTTCTCTCCTCTCCTCCTCTTCAGCTGGCCCGAAGATCAACGCCGTGAAGCTACAGAATCGTGTATGATGATGAGTCTGCTCTACTGTACATCTGTGATCCATTATGGGACACTACATGACAGCCCCAGTGAGAGAACAGGCATGTCGGGGTTGGACTCTGGACAAGTCCTGCAGAGTTCAGTGTCATCACCTGGTTTTGAGGCTTTGAGGAGACCTGGGAGGCGTAGTCATGATTTGGGGCTTGTCTAGTTCTGGTTTGGTCCTGGTTTAGTATTGGTTTAATCTTTGTTAAATCCTTGTGTAGTCCCGGATTAGTCATGTTCAAATCACTGTGTAGTATTGGTGTATTTTTTGTTTTAGTCCTGGTCTTGGTTCTGGTTTTGGTCTTGGTCTAGTCTTGGTCTACTTTGGTGTAGTTCTTGTTTAGTCCAGATTTGGTCCTGATTTAATCCATTGTTCAGGTCTTGGTCTTGTCTTGGTCGTCTTGGTCTTGTCTTGGTCTTGTCTTGGTCTAGTACTTGTTTGGTCCAGATTCGGTCCTGATTTAGTTCTTTGTTCAGGCCTTGGTTTCATCGTGTTTAGTCTTGGTTTAGTGTTTGTTTAGCCTTTGTTTAGTCTTGGTGTAGTCTTGGTCTAGTCTTGGTCTAGTGCTTGTTTAGTCCAGGTTCAGTCCTGATTTAATCTTCTGTTCAGGCCTTGGTTTAGTCTTGGGACTAGTCTTGGGTCTAGTCTTGGGACTAGTCTTGGGACTAGTCTTGGATCTAGTCTTGGGTCTAGTCTTGGGTCTAGTCTTGGTCTAGTCTTGGTGTAGTATTTGTTTAGTCCAGGTTCAGTCCTGATTTAATCCTTTGTTTAGGTCTTGGTTTTGTCTTGGTTTAGTTGTGGTCTAGTCTTGGTCTAGTCCTGGTTTAGTACTTATTTAGTCCAGGTTTGGTCCTGATTTAATCCTTTTTTTCATTCCCTGGTTTAGTCTTGGTTTAGTCTTGGGTCTAGTCTTGGGTCTAGTCTTGGTCTAGTCTTGGGTCTAGTCTTGGTCTAGTCTTGGTCTAGTCTTGGTCTAGTCTTGGTGTAGTATTTGTTTAGTCCAG